ATTTTAATACAAAAAATTATTTAAAAATTAATCATAATAACCTTTCCAAATAAATTTTAACATGGCTAAGAATTATTTGGTGGTGATAATGTTTCTAGTTTTAATGATGATGGTATTATTACCTGGGTTTATATATATATATATATATATATAAAAGAGAGAGAAAGATATTAGTTAAAAAAATAAAAAAAATTTTAGGAGCTAACTTGAATTATTTTAATTTACTTTGGTAAGATGAATTGTAAGATTAACCTAGAAAGTTATGTGAATTGAAAATCAACTATATAATCAGGATTGTGGGGTTGAGGTTTAGTTAGCTTATCGATATAGTAGTTTTCAGGATTGGGATTTAAAAATATATATTTAAAAAATTATAAATTATATTTTTTTAAATTAAAGTTTGAGAAATAGTTTGGATTAAAATCTATGTAAAATTATAGTCTTGATTAATATTTTGTTTATTTTTTTGTTTAAAAAGTGTTTTTTTTTTAAAATTAAATTTTTTATTTTAAATTAATATTTTTTAGATTATTTTGATAGCTTTGATATAAAAAATAATTTCTTAAAAATAAAAAATATTATTTTAATATTATTTTAATAAAAAATAATTTAAAAAATAAAATACAGATAATTTTAATTTTGGACCCTTTAAAATTTTGCATACTGAAAATCTAAGCCCGGACCATGAACATATCCAGGCCCAACTAAACAACCACCAAACCCAAGAAGAAGAGAGTGCAAAGGAAGGGAAGAAACCATTTGAGTTGTGTGGCTGAGCTAACTGCAGAGGCTCCCCTGCTTATCCTCTGCTTCACCTCGCACACTTCACTCTTCAACCTTGTGTTCTAACCCAAATTTCAACAGGTATTCCTTCATCACTTCTCATCTTTTGAGTCTCTTTACAGTTTTCTATCACGAATTATCACCATCCTTAGCATCATATACTATTATGGCCACTAATCAAGAAATACTCTAATATTCAACAAAAGTTGCTTAAAAACAGTTTACATGAAACCAATTGCATGTCAAAGACAGAAAGAATTTCTGCATGCATGTTTCATGGGTCTTGCTTGTGTTTCTTAACTTATCATTTAAGAAGTGATGTTACCAGGAAAATGAAAGAACTAAAGTATTTTTGCAGTGAAAACCAAGAATGTTCTTGTTGGACACTGTAGTTAGCAACTTGGCATAAAGGTTGTTCTAATCATGTTGTCAATGTTTTTAGGTCTATAGTATAAAGAATTGAAAGAAGAGTGAAGAATTTGAGAGGGGGAAGAGAAGGAAACAATGGCTGCTGCAACATTGTTGTGTTGGTGCCATTCAGATTTGATAATTCACGGTTCATGTTCTAGATTATTTGTTAGAAATATGGTAATGGATTCGAATCAATCAACAGTGAAAAGTAGAGGGAGTTACTATACTTATCAGAAGCAAAAGAAGTTTTTTGTGTGTGCTGCAACTGAAGGGTCTGCGAAGTCTAGTAAGTCTGAAGAAACTATCCCATCCTGGGCAAAACCGGATTCTGATGAACCCCCACCATGGGCTAAGGGTGAAGGCAAAGAGAACTCATCCAAGCAGGACTTTGAAGTTCCCTTTTTTGTTTATTTACTTGCCTCAGCAATTACAGCAATTGCCGCTGTGAGTTTCCTGACTTCTTGTTCTTTTTTTCCCCTCCTCTGTAGCTTTATATACTAATTAAGTAGATGGTTTGATTGATTAAAATTCAATGTGTTCAGATTGGTTCCATTTTTGAGTATGTGAATCAGAGGCCGGTTTTCGGAGTTGTGAACCCAGACAGCATTTTTTACGCTCCATTGCTAGGATTCTTTGCGTTTACTGGCATTCCCTTTTCCGTAAGTGCTATATATCTTTCTGAGTGTTAAGCTAGTGAAAATATATTGACTAAGACTCAGGAAATTGATTCTTGAAATTCAATGGATCTTGACATGATGTGATGATGATATAATTGTGGTAGTTTTTAAGTTGGCATAATCTTGTAGCTACGGGCATGGATGAAGAGATTTTTTTGACTCGATTAGCTTATGACATCCGTTTAGTGACAAACTGTCGCGGATGATAAAGTTGCCTAGTGCTGTTGTTTAGCTAACCTGACCTTGTCTGCAGGCATTTTTGTGGTTCAAGTCTGTTCAAGCTGCTAACAAGGAAGCTGAGGAACAAGACAGGAGGGATGGCTATTTCTAAAGTCACGCTAGCAGCATGAGTTAAATATACTGTTGTTCTTCTATGAAACATGATTACCTCTCTCATTTATATTAACTCGTGGTCTTTCAATTCAATTTTGCTTCTTTAAGATATCCTTATTGTACATGCAATGCTCCATCCGTGAAATTTTAGCTTATAATCATGCACAGACTTGTGAATATCCAAACAAGCTTAGGGAACAAGAAGACCATAGACCTTCTATTCGAAACATTTTATGATTTTTATTTGGTATAGGAATGTCCTGAAAGGATATACTGATGTAGAAGTGGAAGGTTTGAGGTCATTACCATCACACTGCCTTGATGTATGGAATGATTAAATCTTGCAATAACTCTTAATTAAAGTAAAAATCGGATGACAGTCACCCATGCAGTGTTGAATCGTCTAGAGCATTACAAAGATGTTTCTTGTGTTGGTTCAACCATACAAGGAAGGCTTGATATGATTTATATGGGAAGCTAATTACCCTGATCGGTTCTTTTGAGAAAGTCCTTGTGAAATGGCACCTGCTGCATGAACTTGACATACATGCTTGAGATAGTGCTAAATTGCTGAGTATCATTACCTTGAATATAAAAGATTTGCCTTGCCGGTCACCTTTCACATTGCTGAAAAGTGCTGTGAATTGGATTTATTGGTTTTGCCTTGCCATTCTCCCACATTTTCTGAATGTCTTGCACTTGCGTTGCATGCATCCATGCTTCAACAAATCCTATCAATGGAGGTTAGATAAGAAAGCATAAGCAAGTGATAGATATAACAAAAAAAAAAAAAAACCTCAACATGCATATATTTACTTATTGTCACGACCCGAATCCTGGATCTGTAATCGGTAACGCAGGAACAATGTCAAAAGAACTTTTTATTCACGTCAAGTTTTAGAACGGACATATCAAAAGAATCAGTCATTTAAAAATACGTAGCATTTCATAATATTTAAAAATATTATATTATTCAAAACTAATGAAACTAAAAAATAGTTCAAAACTTTTTATCAATAATTAAACTAAAAACAATAATTCATAATACTCATTATTACAATAAAATAACAGTGGAGCATCTAAAATATCGAATCAAAACTAAAAGGAAAGCTTTGCCAAATAAGCAAGGTATATCGATCAAAATTGAAGAAGCATAAACACTCAACAAAATTTACTTGCTATTAGAAACTAAGAACCTTAAATAATATTAAGAATGATGGGTGAGTTCAAACCAACTCAGTGAGAGAATAACATTTAATATATATTTTAGATATTAATGGTTTGTAAGTCGATTTATCTTGATATATATAAACATATACATGTTAAACATATTATCATAAAGTAGAATATATATTAGATATCAGTTATTAAATGACACTTAAAGATGACCAGATGACACCTGGAGGTTACCAGATGACTCAAAAGTGATCAGATGACACCCGTAGGTGATCACTATGGGATGATTAGTCGCCACAGGCTGATGCATCTTTCATTAACTAGGTATATAGAATACTATATGCATATATGTTAACTACTTTCCATTAATATGGAGTTATTGACAAGTTTTATATCAAGACATAATAGATATTTGAAGAATCATGAAGGAAATGTATATTATATTGAATAGAATATAGTTCCACAAAATACGAGTGCAAATTCAAGAATAAACAAGTATTTGAAAAATAAAGCAACATATATAAATATTTAAGAGATTAACTAATCATACTCATCATATAATCAACATACATATTTATTTATATTATATGCATATTAAACATTAATTCACTCACCCGAAAAATATAGAATTAAAAGGAATATCAGAAGAAAGACCAAAAAAACTTATTGAGTATTGTTAGGAGAACATACAATAAATATAAAAAATATACTTAAAAGCAACTGAAAACAACACAAATAAAAAATTTTAATGCATAAAATAAAACCAAGTTTAGTCTCCTAGGTTTAGGGACTAAAACGACAATTATCCAAAACAAGGATCAAAATGTAATTTCATAAAAAATGGACCAAACTGTAAATATATAACCATACTGAAATTTCACCCATAAACCATCCTCAATTTTATCTAGAATGAACTAGGGACTGAACTGTAATTTTTATAAAGTTTAGGGATTAAAATGCAAATTTCCAAAATTGAGGGACCAAACTAAAAATATTTCAAATTAATTATCAAACTGAGATTCATCATCCTTAACCTTATAATAACACTTTCTAGAATTTCAAAATATATTTAGGGGTCAAATTGTAATTTTTTCAAAGTTTAGGGACTAAACTAAAATTCTCATAAATTAAGGATCAAAATAAAATTTGATCATCTTCAACCTCAAGATCATTCTGTCTAGATTTTCCAGCAAAGTTAAAATGAATTTCTTAACCTATAAAAATTAATTTAAACAAATCAACTTACAAATCCTTATTTCCTATAAGATATTAATTAATCATCTAATATTAAATTTTTAATAATTATAAATCAATCTTAACAACATAAACTTTTAATCTTTATAAACCCTAATATCTTCTTTAATCATTTCATAAACAAACTATAATTGAAAATAATATAAAAAAGAATCACTTATTATTTACATTTTTATTTTTCTTTAACAAAAAATTTAAGATAAAAAATTAAAATCTTTGGTTTGAGGAGAGGAGGGTCATAGTGGTTATAAAAATATTAAAAATAAAAATAAATTCTCTTATATTTTTTTTAAATATCTAAATTAATTTAGATTAAATTTGGGCTAATTTAAATTTAGATTTGAGCTAAAAATTTGAATGTGATAGGATAAAATATAAGCAACCAGTAAAATATAGCTGCACAGGGGAGTAGGGGTCAAATTGCAGTCCTTAAGAGAGGAAAAAAAAAAAAAACCTGCAGTTATCCTGGAAGCAAGTGACCTGGAAGGATCTTGTAGATGTAAACAAGGTCGAACCTGGCCACGACAACAGAGGAATCTAACAGGTGTATGTTAAAGGAAGATTTTCTCCGCAAATATTGATAGTAGAAAATGATGTTCTTCTGATCCATAGCATAAAAGGTGAAATTGTCTTAGACTTCAACGTTTGTGTTGGTCCCATAAGTAATCTTTCACGGTACCACCAAAGTATCTTCTTGTCTTTTTATGAAGAAATCCATTTTTACCGGTGAAGGTCTCAGTTCGGCCGCATCCATGCCATTTACTTATACATACCTGGATATATTTATATACTCCACGTGCCTTCTGTGTGTCTCAACCTAGGCAGCCACACTCCTCCCCAACTTCTGTCCCTAAGCTAAAAGCACATCTCTCTTTAACATGGCTTTACATCAAATATCAGAAACTTGTGCTGAACATAAGATTTCAGTAGCTGATGAAGATGCTCAGAAAGTCCAGAGATTGCGGCGAGCTCAATGGCTCCGAGCAGCTATTCTGGGAGCTAATGATGGTTTGCTTTCCACTACATCACTAATGCTTGGCGTAGGTGCAGCAAAGGAAGATAGCCGGTCCATGGTCTTGTCTGGACTGGCTGGAGCTCTTGCAGGTGCCTGTAGCATGGCTGTTGGGGAGTTTGTTTCAGTCTCAACCCAGAGAGATATCGAAAGGGAAACTGTAAGCGATCTCAGTTCAAAAAATGATGGAAAAGATTCTCCTGGAATCAGAATCGATGTCACAGCAACGCTAGCAAGCACGAATGGAGAAGCGAAGCTGGATGATCCCCCTGGAAATATACAGTTTGCCAAGCTCATCTCTGAGCCAACACAGAGAAGGTCACCAAGTATGATCCACGAGCCAAAGTTACCTCCGGGTATTTCTCCTGGAAGATCTCCTGCAATGAAAGTAATTCAAGAAGATGCGAGGAAAAGTGCTGAAATAATGCTGGAGGATGACAGAGAGGAGGTGCTAACAAACCCCTACAAGGCTGCAATTGCATCAGGTTTATCATTTTTGATAGGATCTTGTGTGCCTTTGCTGTCTGCCATTCTTGTTGCTCAAAATGTTGTTAGTATTGTGATGATTCCTGTGGTTGCATCAGTAGCTCTGGCTTTTTTTGGAGGCTTGGGAGCTTATCTTGGCGGTTCACCAGTTAGGATATCTGCAGTAAGAATTCTTCTTGGAGGTTGGATTGCCATGGCAATTACTTACGGGTTGCTCAAGCCTTTCGATAAGGATCGTAGTTGATGATTTGGATTATTTCCATCATTACTGTAAAAGAAGCTGCTTGGAAAAACAGAAAAAAGGTTTTGGTTTTTCATATAAAGACAAGGCTTTCGATTCTTGCTTGCTTCATGCTGGATGTTTGTATTGTCTAAAAATACTGGTATACTAACACATAAATGTTAGACCATTAATACTCCTTCATGGCACCTCCCCCTCCACTATTCACCTCCTACCCTAAACTTCATGTCCATTAAACAAGAAGCATTCCCCAAAGTTTGGGCTTTGATTATAGTGATGAGAAATGCATGCTGCAGACTTGGCAGCTGGATCAGTCCCATTAAAATATGTAATTTGTCATCATAAATGTTCAGGTATAATCCAAAACTAGAATACATAGGTTTGTAGGTTTGGATAATGTGCAAAAATGCACCTCCTGTTTGAAATTTAGCATTTCAGAGGTATTTTTATTTTTGTCTTTAACGACTCATCTTTTGCATGGTTTTTTCCTTGGTGGCACCAAGAAAGCATTGCTAGTTGTTAGTGGGACATTCTAGAAATTAAACATATATAAATTTACATGGTTTGAAAACTTGTCTACTTCACAGAAATACTGAATTGTATTAATCAATCAAGGAAACAATACAAACAAAAAAAGGAGGAGAAAAACTCTTTTCAACTCAACTCTATTCACTCTAGCTCTCTCTTTTGCTCTCTCTATTTTTGCCTTAATTTAAACCTCCATCATATGCCAAGTGGGAGATGAGGTATTTCCACTTACATATGGTGGAGGTTGAACATTGTTTGTCTCTACTTACTAACAATCTCCTACTTGAAGACAAATAATAAAATTATCTTTTATCCTTGAAGACCAACTGAAGTTTTACACAACTTCAATTTATCAAGTGTAACTCCTTTGATTAATATGTTAGCTGTATTCTTGCTTCTACAAACCTTTTCTAGCATTAGTTGCTCGTTGTCTAGCAATTGTCGAATGAAGTGATATTTGATCTGAATATGCTTAGTCCTGGAGTGAAATGCTGGATTCTTGGCAAAGAAGATTACACTCTAACTACTGTTATACAGAGTACCTTTTCCATTCATCTTGTTCAATTCTTTTAGGAAACTCTATAGTCATACTATCTCTTTTGCAGATTCTGAGACTGCAACATATTCAACTTTTATCGTTGAAAGAGTGAAGATCTTTTGTAAGGTAGAACTCCAAGAAGTAGCAGTGCCTCATAGAGTGTATACATATCTTGTAGTGCTCTTTCTACTATCAACATCTCCTACTAGATTAACATCTACAAAACCTTTAAGTTTCAAACCACTAGCTGTGAAAGTAAGATAAGTCTCCAAGGAACCTTTTAAGTATCTCATGATCCATTTTATAACCTTCCAATATTGCTTTTCAGGATTGCTCATATATCGGCTTACAACTCCCACTGAATGGATAATGTTTGGTATGGTACAGACCATAACATACATCAACAAGCCAATAGTTAAGACGTATAAAATCTTATCCATGTATTCATATTCTAGCTTAGTTTTTGGTGATTGGTCTTTGTTGAGTTTGAAATGATTCCTTAGAGGTGTAGTTACTGGTTTAGCATTTTCCATATTAAACCTATTGAGAACCTTCTTGATATGTTCTGTTTGTAAAAGCTTTAGTATGTCTTTATCTTTATCTTTGATGATTCTTATATTAAGTATTTGTTTAGCAACTCCCAGATCCTTTATTTCAAATTGTTTTGACAATTATTATTTTAGCTTGTTAATCTCCTCAATGTTGGATCCTGCAATCAACATATCATCTACATATAATAGTAGAATGATGTAGGAGTTGTCAAAATATTTGATATAGCAACAATGATTAGCTTAACATCTTGTGTACCCCAAATAACATATGAAGTTGTCAAACTTCTTGTACCACTGTTTTGGAGTTTGCTTTAAACCGTATGGGCTTTTCCTTAACTTGCAGACTTGGTTCTCCTTTTCTTGTATTGCAAACCCCTCTAGTTGTTGCATGTAAATGTCTTCTTTCAAGTCACTATAAAGAAATGTTGTTTTTATATCTAATTGTTCAAGATGTAAATTGTCTGTAACTACTATCTGCATAACAACTCTGATTATTGTGAGCTTCACAATTGGACAAAATATCTTAGAGTAGTTAATCCCTTTCTTTTGTTGAAACCCTCTTACAATAAGTCTTGCCTTGAACCATTTTCTTCCGTCATGCTCAGTCTTTACTTTGTAAACCCACTTGTTTTGCAAAGCCTTCTTTCCTTCAGGTAGTGTGGTTAGCTCCCAAGTTTTATTCTTCAACAACAAATCCATCTCATCCTTTATGACTAACTCCCACTTGTTTGAGTTTTCATTGTGTAAGGATTCTTTATAAGTTAGTGGTTCACCACTATCTATCAGCAAAATATATTTCAGTAGAAGTGTGAACCATTGTGGTGGCTTTACAGTCCTTGAAGACCTGCGAACATAAACAATTGGTTCACTTAGCTCATAGTAGTGGGTATAGATGTGCTTGAATCTTCTTGTAAAGACTCTTAATTTTTGTTCTACTCGATAACATCGGGTAGCCCTTCTAATCTTATAAATTCAAATTTTTATGGATTTGTATATGAATTAACCATATTTGTTTCTACACTTAATTTGTCTTTGTACAAAACTTTCTCATTAAAGATCATGTTCCTGCTTCTAATAATCTTTCTGTTCTAATCATCCCAGAATCGAAATCTAAATTTTTTATCTCCATATCTAATGAAGAAACATTTCTTGGATTTGACATCTAGCTTGTTGCGAGCATCGGACTCTATATGAATATAGAAAATACAACCAAAGACCTTTAAATGAGAAAGTTATACTTTTCATACCTTCTTGGGCAATCTGAACTCCAAAGGAACTGATGGTCCATGGTTGATCAAGTAAACTGCAATATCAACTGTGTTAGCCCAAAATGTTTGAGGTAACCTAGAATACAACCTCATGCTTTTAGCTCATTCATTGATGTTCATGTTCATCCATTCAGCAATGCCATTCAGTTGTGGTGTGCCTGAAACAATCTTTTCCATTCTAATACCATTGACAGCACAATACTCTTTGAAACCTCTATCAATGTATTCTCCTCCATTATCAGATCTTAAGCATTTTAACTTTAAACCTGATTCAGTCTCAACTATAGCTTTCCATTTCTTGAATGTTTCAAACACATCAGATTTATTTTTCAATAGCTTTCCTTTCAATTAAAGTATTTTCATCCCCTTTTAACTTATATAACCGAGTCTACAGTGCCATAGTCGTGCTTGATTTTCTGCTTCAATAGAGGCAATAATGTCTGTAAATTTTGTGGTCATATATAAGGTGTCAGTTTTCTTTCCACGAGCCAAAATCATTGCTCTCTTCGATACCTTCCACATACCTCCAGAAAAAAAAGATTGAATGACCACTATCATCAAGTTGTCCAACGAATCCACATCTTGCAGCTTTCATGAAGGTCTACGCTTTTCTTATCAAAATTTACACAACCTTTTTATATTGCTTCTATTGGTTTCAAAATGTAATAATCTCCTCTTAGTAGTGAAATGTTAAGAATCTCCTCTTGTCTTTAAAACAATTTTAAAGTGAATTTTTATTATTCTATAATAAAAAAAGACACGAGACAAATTCCTTTTACCTCCACTATCTTTATTTATTTATTATTTTGTCTTAAGACTTCTTTAATGTCTAGTTAAGGTGGAGTTAAAGCTGCCTGCATCTCTATTTTAGATAAATTTATGGATTTACCACTGAGTGATAGCTTAATATCCAACTTCTGCTTATACGTGGATTCATTTTTATCAATTTCGCAGCTTGATGAAGTTCACAACCAATTTGTTGTTGCACTGAATGATCTCTTTAAAAAGCACAAAGCACGGGTTGGCTTTGCTGATGTTAAACTAAAAATTTTATAATTTGATGCCAGAACTTGATTAATTTCTAAATGTTTCTTTATAACATTTATTTCTTCACTTTCTTGTTTATATGTTGTATTTGATTTGATAACGAGCAAAATCAAACTTTAAAAGCACTTGGAAAAAGGAATTTGGAGCAAAAATTATAATAATTTGGTGTTGTTTTTTCTTAGCTGTAACTATGGTGCAGAAATGATAACGGTCTAAGGAAATTCTTAACAGAACAACAAAAAACTCTTCTCTTGAAAAAATTGTTTGGCCCAAGAAATTTCTGCAGATCCACCACCAACTTGCCTATTTATTTTACACAAGTAATGCAACAAACTTTGCCAAAACTTGTCAGGGCAACAAAATAATATGAAATTTCCATACTCCACAAGTCCCCATAAAAGCTTACACGAGTCCAACCTGGAACCTTTCTTTCACTAATATCTAAAGCATTTTTACTAATGAATTTCACTATAGAATAAATTTCCAAACTTCAGTGTCATCAACATGAGTGATAGGAAAATTAAATCCACAAATGGCAATCTTAATGAGTACCATTTGGCCTGATAACATTAGATAGTGTTTGCATCAACATCTAGACCATTCTCTATAATAATTTTTAGTTCAAAAGCCTTAATAAAAGGACTATAAGGGTTCACAATCACTTAATATAATAACACAATATATATATATATATATATATATATATATATATATGAGTTTAATGAGCTATCAAATCCAATATTTCTAGGCTTAGTTAAGCATTAAACTCAGATATATATGGGTTTAGTGAACTTTCAGACGCACCATCGTTGGGCTTAATGTTTGACTAAATCAAGGCATATATGAGTCTGTTGAACTATAAACACACTATTTTTAAGCCCATGCTCTTTTTAACTCTAAAGAATTTTAGGCTCCATGATCATACCATAAATTAAATATATTTTACCATGATAAGTTAAAGACATATTATTCCATGATGAATTAAAGATATTTATTAAAATAAATTATAAATATTTTGCTTATACTTTAATCCCTTCTATTCAAAAAAGCTAAACCTCATAGGCTATAAAAGAGACCATGATATCTCTTAAAGGCGAGTTCTTTTTTCCTCCGCTCCTTATTGCATATATATTTTTAGAATTTTTCTCTAAAAGATTAATGCATTTTCTATGAAACGATACTTATTTAAGCATTAGAGAGTCCTTAAATTTAAAAAAAAAAAGAGGACTTTTTGCAAGTATCATGCCACGACTGAATCCATGACCAATACATATGTAAGGTCCCATTTAGGTTTCCATACATATACGAACTGAAACTTACATACAAACTTTTACCATTTAAATATATGGAACTTCTGATACCATAATTAAAATTCTTAATGTAAAATTCATTTCTCAAAGTTGAACTTATGACATTAATCAAATGAGAAGCTATCAATTCATAAGTATATAATGGTTTATATCAAATATTTAATTTCAATACGTGATCAAGCTTAAGCATAACCAAGAGTTAGATAACATATGAGAATTACCAAGAAGCACGATCTTGTCATATTAACAATTCAAGTATTTATATTATTCCTCTAGCATATGAAAAATTAGTTATTTACTTGACTCAAAAGCAAATGTCCAAGAAAATCATACTAATGCCCAATAGGTAGAGTGTTAAAAGTATCTGAATACAAAAGAAACCATACTTAAAAAAAACTCGAAAAGAACATACAATTTATTTAGTATATTTAATTTAGGGTCTAACACACAACCCTATACATTTAGAAATCAAAACAAAATTATAAATTGGAATCGATTCACCTAATTGATTCCAAACATAACCTAAATTGACCGGACCAAAAAGAATCATTCTTCTCTCATTATCAGATCAACCAATTGGCCGAAATCTAACACCTATTCGGTGAACTGAAATCTAGCAGGCAAACCAGTCTACTGATTTAACCCCAACTGGTTGATCGGTTGGTCAGGAATTTCAAATTAGTTTTTTCTAAAATGAAAGATCTCAATCTCTAACTTAAAATCTTAAAAATTCAACATAATCAACCTATAACTATTCAACCGATCACACTACAATTAATTAATTCGTCATATATAAATAATTCATCAATTTAATCCTAAAACATAAACTTTAAAACCCTAAACTTTAACAAAATCAAATTAATTACCTTAACTGCAAATTAAAGACTTACCTTAAACACTTAATTTCTTTTGTCCTTTTCCTTTTTATTTTTCTTCTTCTTCAACAACTACCCGTTCTCTCCTTTCAGTTTCATATATATATATATATATCAAACTATTTGTTCAATTATCACAATATTTCTCATTCACTTATATCTATTTTTAAGCTTTTAAGGGCATTGTTGTTTTTTTCTATTTATTATTTCTTTATTTATTTCAAAATATTACATATTAGATATTATCTATTAATTATATTGACTAGAGAACTAGAAAATTAGTTTATTATTCAAGATATCAGCTGGGTTCTCAAGGCCAATGGACTGTTACAAGCTCAACAGTTACCTCATGCCATATTGAAATATTGCTCGTGTTGGGAAGGAAAGTCCATTTGGAACTCACAGTACACCTAACAACAAAAATAAATAAAGCGATGGAATTAAATAGGTTTTCTTTATATATATATATAAGCCTATCTTAAAAGTCCATAAGACATAAAAGAGGTGTAGCAAGAATATTCCAGTTGGGGCTGCCGATGAGCTTAAAATGGGTGAAAAATTAGTCAGATATGCACAACAGATGGATCCCATGGTTAAGTAGGATATAAATCCATGCTTCATATTTTTTATAGCAGTATTCAGATCAAGCCTTCTCTTTGTACATACCTTGTTGATTTTTGAACTCTATCATAATTTAAAGACCTTTTTATGGAGACATTTCCATGAAGCAGCCATTAGCAAGCAGCATGCAGTCTTAAACCAGATTTTTTCCCTCTCCGATTTCTTGGTCACGTTAAAATATCAGAAAAAGTATAGACTAAACAAGCTGCTTTATGTTTCAGTATTGAGGCGATACGAGGATTGACCCCCCTTACTGCTTTGCTTTCATAGACTGTTGGATTTATAATCGGTGTTATCCCTCCTTTCCAAAAAGCACTGATTGGTGATAATGATCCTCTTCTTGTGATTGAAGACTCTGTATGCTTGCTCGGGTCAGCATCCCTCTTTGATATGTGTGTGTATGGAGATTCCTGACATGTTCTCCTAGAATTCCTTTTGGTGTGTGTTTGCTTGCAGATGTCAAAGAACTTTATCTCAAATAACTACCTCAACTTAGTTTAAGTTATTAAATAAAATTTTAGAATATAATTATTTAATATTTTTCTTTAAATGAAAACTCTTTAAATTTGAAATTTATATAAACCTATATTATCTTATATTTAATTTTTATTAAATAAATAAGAATAATAAGATTTCAACTTGTGATGACTTAATTATTAAAACTTTAATATTATATCAGATAACTATTTCAACTTAATAATTTAAATTATTAGTTGAGTTCCAAAATATAATTTATATAATTATATAACAGCAGCGAGTCAGCAGTTACAATTACTACTTTGATTGTGGAAGCAAATCTTCTGCAGGGTAATTGCTATCATTTTCTATCAACTAGCCTGCCTTGATTCACTAGTTGGATTTTTCAAAGCTTAGAGACAAGGATGACCAGAATGTGCTCTCAGGTTTCAACGGGTCGAAGGTGCCGGTCTCAGTGATTATTGGTATAACAGCAGTCCGGTATATTTTTATACCGATATTGAGAGTCCTTACAATCAAATATGCTGTCCATTTTGGCTTTGTGGACTCAGACCCGTTGTACAAGTTCGTTCTTCTGCTTCAATTTGCAATGCCTCCAGCAACCAACATAGGTCTGTCAACTTTCAACTATACCTTGCTTTAAGATTCATGCGAAGTTTAATCATGTCCTCATCTGGAAACAGGTTGAATTTGTTTCTAACTTGAAGTAATTTCACATGACTTGGCGAGTACAATAACCCAGTTGTTTGGAGCTGGTGAAACCGAATGCTCGGTGATCATGCTATGGACCAATTCCTTGACCACAGTTGCGGCAACGCTTTGGTTCTTCTTGTCGTTCGTCAGATGAATGTCACTTCACTTGCCTCTTGGATCACTTCCAACATACACAATCTGGGAAATGCATTGCATCTTAGGCCTTAGCGTAGGTATTTCATTAGTTTTGGCGAATACAGATATAAAAGAAGATAGTTTGAAATGTACAGGCAAAAGGGTACTGTGCTAAATGTATTATTATGTGTTAACAGGGATGCTTCATCAGTTCTGCCAAATACAGATGTAATAACACATACTAGGCTAGATATATTTGAATGCCCTTTACAAGGCAAAAGAATTATATATTTGACCTACAACCTGACATTAAATTGTTTGATGATGCAGTCTTGCCTTTGTTGTCCACGTGATGAATTTTATAGAGAACAAGCAATAAAAGAAAGGATAAAACACAGTAGTTTCTGGAACAGTCAGGATTAGCTGACACCCTACAGGCCTTTCCTTGCAACAATAAATAAACCCTATTCAAATTGAAAGAATTTCAGAACAATGCCTGATGTCCTCAAATTAATGGATCTGAATTTTATAGGTTCATTGCTGGTGGTAGTGTAAATTGTAGCAGAAGCATAAACTGATATAATGGATCTGAATGCACCCGACCAAACAGGACGGCACGCTTAACAATGACAATTCCTAATAGAGGCAGGGAAATGTACAGAACTGCTAATATTGCGAACTCGATTAATGGCTGAATACCTGACCCTTTAAAATCTGAATTTTTGCAACAGTCAGAAATTGTTAGATACCTTGGTAAACAATACTAGGAAGAGAAGCAAGATTTTGACCACTTCACGGGAGGCATAAAGACAACTAGGAGTTACCTCTCTGCAGGTTCCCTCCCATTATCAAAATCACAGTTCGGACAGTTGCATCCCTGCAATTTAAATGACATAAAATTTCAGGAATGTGTTACAGGTGAGTGGTGAAAGCTAATGCTGACTGCAACACCAGAAAATGTAACCTGAAAGTATACTTGTGACAGCAAGCTACTAGATCAAGAATAAACTCGGAGATGAAAGCAGGATTTATACCCAAGAAAAGATGCAGATTCTTCAACTAATGAATAGGAGCACTGGCGCCGAACATGAGATTCCGAATCTGAGTGATCACTCCGATGATAAAACCAGCTATCTATGCCAAAAAGATATCTCTGAAAGTTAGTTCAGATATCAAGCAAGAAGCAAGAAATACACCATGAAAAAAGTGGCTTTGTTGGGATAACGATTAGGGGATATTGCTCCTATAGTTGAAGGTGCAAACACTTCCTTCAGATGGAGTTCCCTTGATGTCTTGCTGCTTAAAATCACTTGTTAGTTAAAATTAATTTCATCATAAATTAAATATTTTTAAGAAAATAATTAAATTAAATACTGCAATTACCAAAAATTTAAGGGCGAAAATAAACCCGACAAATTTCCCTTCTCATTAACATCAACTTGACAATAATACCAGCTTCACCATATAATTGAATACCATATGAGCCACCACCCTCACCCTCACAGCCTCACCAACACTGAACTACTATACTCTCTCCAACACAAAATCACCGTAACAGGACATCGATGAAACCAACAACGACTGAAACCATCATTGATTCATTGTTAATGAAGAGAGGCAATAGTCTTTGTGGATTTGAGTTTGAACACCATGGTATACACTACTCGATTTTAAGCCAAACTCTTACTTTTAACAATAACCACTCTCCAAAGTGGAAGAATTTCCCAACAAATGTTGAAGTCTATCTATAAAATAAGAATAGCAATCAAGCTACTAGCCACATGAAAAGGGTTGACCACAGAGTTAGAAAAATTGATGCCAGCGCATATGTCCATAACATTATCACAGAGCATTCACTTTCTCCAGCTCCAAATAACTGAGTAATTGTGCCTGCAAAATTAGAAAAACATGTTCAATGCATGATTGAACTTCATCAGCATGTTCGCTCTTATAGAATTAGACTGCTCATACCTATGTTCAATGCTGGTGGAACTGCAAATTGTAGCAGAAGGACAAACTGATATAATGGATCAGAATGGACCAGACCAAAGTGGACTGCACCTTTAACAATGGCAGTGCCTATGAGAGGAAGGAAAACAAACCTAACTGCTACTATTCCAACTATGAGTGACGACTGAATTCCTGATCCTCTTAAACCTGCATCGCAACAGTCAGAATCTGCTAAATACCATTCCATGCCAGTATGTGAAGTAAAAACAAGATTTGGACTAATTCGAGGGAGGCGTAAACGAACTTAAGAAAAATTACCTCTAAGAAGGTTTCCTCCGACAATTAAAGTGATTGTTGGGATGGCTGCATCCCTGCAATTTAAATTGAATGAAATGGTAAAAATGTGTTAAAAGATTATTGCTATAAGGTTGTGCTGTTCGCAATGCCAACAGTTTCTGAATATGATGTATACCCTATCAGAGAAGCAGAAGCTTCAACTACATGAAGAGGAGCACCAGAACCGATTAAGGAATTCCGAATTTGAGGAATCACTCCAATTATAAAGCCAGCAATCTTTGCAAGAAATTCACATTTAAACTCAGCTCAGAGTAGCAAGAAATACACTACGAAAGTAGTGGCTACGATGGAAATAGGGGATACCGCTGCGGTAGTTGAAGGTGCAAAGACTGCCTTCAGATTTAGCTTTCTTGATATCATCCTGAAGCATTGCTTAATCTTGTCAGATAAGTGTACCTACCAGAAGAAAACTAACAGATCAAGGGCCGCTAATATTACATCTTATTAGTTTAAAAGCAGTAAGGATTTCATCAGCAAAATCAATATGATTAAATGAAGTGAAAGATTTGATTGCTATTGTTTTCTCCGCAAAAAAAAATAAAAAAAATTCCAGGTATCGCAGAGTGGCAGAAACTTCTATTCTGTAAATTTAGAGAATGAGATAAGAACCTATAGACAATGAGCTTTGTCCTGGTCTGCAGATTGCGAAGGCTGTAGATACCATACCATGAATAAGACTACAAGTGTAAGAGATACTTCTAACGAGGAGGGAGAAAAACGAACCTTAACAATTCCCTCAGAATTTGTGAAAGGAAGAAGCAACTCATATTCATCGGAAACTGGAAACTCTTTGGAAGGAAGAAAAGCTTCCGAGTAATTCCCTTGGATGGGTTCTGGTGTTTCTCCGGCATCCTTCACAGTACTTGTGGAGCCACCATGGCCATCACTATCAGCTTCTTTGTTGACATCCCTTGAGGAAACCCTCACAACGTTATAAACATAAGACCACATATAAATGGCGCTTACCTGAAGAGTACAAGTTTTCTTATCAGAGTCGGACAGGTTAAGTATTCGTTTAGCGTGAATCTTGAATAAATGAAGCTAGTTTAACATTATACTGCCAAGGAAAGAGAAACATAAGCCATTCCGTATGTAGAGCAAACATCAGGGGATCCAAATGGACTGCCTTTCTCACTACAGACTGCTGGGATGATGATGAAAAGCAAACTTCCATTGTTTCCTGTTACATCAATTCAGAATATGAACTCGAAAACAATAAGCAATGTAAATACTTGAGGCCTGTTATATCTAGCGAAATCGATGCATCGATTCTTCTGAAGAAAGTTTGATAGTGAGTGATAACAAATATCTTGATCTGACCTGCAGCACAGCAACCCAATATGAGGCCCTTAAGTTGTTTGGCAGGTCTTGTGATTTTTATGAGTATCCATCCTAGTTCTGAGCCGACAATGAATGCACAAAGAATATTGACTGGCATGAACCACCTGTATAACAATTAACAGCTAAATGGCTTGAGCAAAGATCAATTAAGAAAACGTCACTCATCTTGAATCAGAACCAACGAATGCCACGGGACGGCAGATTAATCTAATTGAAACTCACAACGTAACAATGTTTTCATAGGTGATTGTTTTAGCCAGGCTGCTAACCACCAGTGCTGGACTAAACACCAAAAATACTACCTGTTCAAGACAGTGACTCTTAGGCAGAGATCAACATATGATATCGAAAGAAAATCACCAGGTGTTTAGTAGCTCTACGAAAATTTTTGTGATGCTCAAATTGTAACTAGCAATTCTTATAGCATAGGAAAGAGAGAATGAAATTCAGAACTAATTAATGACCAGTTTACGTACACGATTTAGTTCTTTCCTTGTACTCTCTCCCAAGACATGTATATTGTCCAATGCAAGAAGTGATCCAAGTGCTGTTAGAATTAGTACTTTCAAAATTGGCACAGAAGCAATATAAAGTAGATCAAGGAGCCGCATAGTGACACTTCGAAAACTTCAGGAATCTACCCTGATCCTACATAAAGGGAGAAAGATTTAAATAAATAGAGGTCCTGGAGCAATTCTAAGATACAAAACCATTGCTGTGACAAACATCACAGCTAAAAAATTGAAATGAAATGGCAGGGTAGCAACAGTTCCATTCCATTGAGATTCACCCGTTCAATAGTGTATGGATACAGTATCCAAGGAACAAAGACCAGTCAGAAGTATCCAGGTGTAAGTGAAGACTGTCTGAAGCTGCAACTGAAGCATTGAATAGAGCAGCATTAGAGTCCTGCACACTATACAAAAGACAACCCAATTTTGACAACTGAGAAGTGAGACTATAAATGCTTAACTTCCAAAATCAGTGCATGATATCTAGCAAAGAGATTTTAGTCCAAATTAGAGGCAAGTGCCATTGCACATTGCTGTAGACTGTAGTCATTTATTGATCACCAGTTCATAATGGTAAGTTACAGGCAGCGTAAGCCCTGATGTCAATTTTGGCCTCATATGACCACAGGTATGCATGCCATAATATCCATGCCTTTTGTTGCTATGAGCGTAGAGATTTGGGAAGCTTGAGCTTGGAAACACCTCCAACCGTTTCAGTAGCTTGTTTACTTAGCTAAGGTCTAGTCCCGTTTCCTGTGACCTTCCTGTCTCCAGGTTTCTTCTTCTTCTTATCTCCTAACATCACACTAGAGTACATCCATTTCCTTTTCAACTAGGGGACGAAACAGATAGCGGGGTTTTCTCCACATGTCGTTACCTTTAATGTTCATGTCAGAATATATTGTAATTGAATTGATATTTGTTTCATGTGGTGGTTCTGTCCGCACAATTTGGATTCCCCAGAATCCATAAGAAAATTCGATTTGGTACATTTGCCAAGCTGATTACTCCTCAAAACTGCTTTTGTTTTGTCAGAAAAGATCATTGCTTGTAATATTCTCGGATTCCACCAATGCAACTGTCACACTCTTCACCATAGCTATTAGACCTACACCGGCCTCTAGAACTCGACAAACCCGGGACCTAGACCAGTTCCAATTAAAGACAACGTAGGAAAACGACCTGACCCGTTCAAGATTCTTGACCGTTTGTGCATTACACACATGTTATGGGCACAAGATATAACGAAGCTAAGATAAGAAGCCATTGCTGTCTGCATGGAATGCCTTCATTCTGTATTTATTAACCATTCTTTTATGTACTGTATCAGCAAAGGGGCTTCCTCTAACTCTATCATATAAATCTTTTATTCATAGAATAAAGAATTTAGGCATATATTTTTTTCATATTTCGATATATAAAAGAACAAAAGAAGCCAACGTGCGAGTTTATCTGTTTTATTAATTCCATTTGGAGAGATTAATTCTATAACTTTCCACTTTGCATGACCTGCACTGTTTTATATATATCTTCAAAATTTAGAGATTGAAGACTAGGCTAGATTAGCCAAAAAATTCTATAGAAATTAGTATATAAGCATGTGATGATATTACTATCTCATATAAGATAGAAAATAAGAATCCTAGTAGCTTATACAACATGATGTTGTTTAATGTTTATGGAATGTCACTTATGCTATGCTTCTAAACCCCTCATCTAGATTATTTCTTATTTGTTAGAAAATAAGAAATTTAATTATTTATATCATATCTTTGAAATTAATCCGGTCTGATTAATTAATTTAAAATTTGACCGATCTAAAACTGAAACTAATCTAAATTAATTTAGAATTTGACCGATCTAAAACTGAAACTAATCTAAGTTCAAATAAATAAAGAAATAAAACTTAGGATGATTCGGTAATCTGGTAAGATTCAATCAAAAATCTAGTTATAATCTATTGGCTTTCATGTTTTTGTACTAAAATAATATTATTTTAATATGTTTTAAAAAAAATTAACCTAGTCAAAATCTAAAACTTAAATCTTGAACCGAATCAGCTATCGGACCGAATTTAAAAACTATGATTTATATAATATAAAAATTATTTTTTAAAATAAATATATTTTTCAATCATTTTTTTTAATAAATATATTTCCAACGACTATGTAGTTCCAACTTGTTAACTGGAACAATATTTCATGGGAGGCCATGTGCAAGTAAGAACACATTATTATTGGCGTGTCTATAAAAATATCAGTATAATCGTCAATTAGAAAACGAAAGCCTTGGCCGCTTATATATATACCACAAGTCTCATTTTCTCCTAATAGATGTCTTTCCAATTACAATACCCACCACGTGGCTATAACCTGTTGGCTGAGCATGACAAACATGTTTCTGTGTTGGTTCAACCGTGACAAATTTAGTTTCTTGGTAATTTTTATAAACAAGATATTTTTTGGTAACAATTTTTTTTTAATTTGAATGGCCTTGGGTAAAACGTTTCTTTTATGTTTTTTATTATGAGATTGTGTTAATAAATCTTATTATATGTATTAGTATTTATTTGAAAGTTATATGTATTAGTATTTATTTGAAAGTTTGATTGCGGTTATTTTTAAAAGTGTTTTTCATGCTGAAATGTATTAAAATAATATTTTTTTTTATTTTTGAAAATTATTTTTGAAATCAGTGGATAAAATATCCAAAATATAAAAAAAAATTAATTTTTATAAAAAACTACATTTTCATTTTCAAACAGTGCCAAATTAATATCTAAAAACAAATATGGAGCAATAAATTTGATTAGCTTCAATTATAGGATAACACCAGTAGATTGGGAGGTTTTTTTTTTTTTTTTTTATCAAATGTTTTTGCTAGCATGGCTTGAATCTGCCTAACTAGTCGACATGGAATTTGGAACTTAATCACCACCATAAGGTGAGACTGAGACCATAGACAAGAACACAAATTACACCAAAAGCCACATGTAAAAGGTTGACCAAAGGGTAAGAGAAAATGCAGCCAAAACATAACACCACAGCATAATGACAGAACATTCACTCTCACCAGCCTTGAAAAGCTGAGCCATAACCCCTGTCAAGTTCATCAAAACAGCAAGCATGTCATCCCAAAATGATTTATGATCAGAAGCAGTTCATTAAGTTTTAAGAAAAAGTTCTACTGGACAGAACATATTTTTTAGACTGCATTAGGAGAGTGATCCGAGAAGGAGTTTTGAGTCATCGAGTTATGAAGTTAAACATGTATTTTAAAAAGAAATGACCTCGTTTTGGAGTTTGTTGTAGTGAACTTTAGTTCACAAAGCAATGAACAAATTTAAAGTGTAAGAGTGGGTAACAACTGTACAAGGTGTATGAGTTGAAAAATGGCAGGCTTCCAGAGTCAGCAAATGAAATAAAATAAAAAAATTGCAGCGACAATCCATATGAAGAGCTTAAAGAAGTTCTCGTACCTATAGCCATTGCAGGTGGAAGTGCATATTGAAGCAAAAGAATGAATTGATATAAAGAATCTGAGCCAACCAAGCCGAAATGGTGTGCTGCTTTAACAATACCAATGCCTATAAGTGGCAAGAAAAAAGTCCTCACTGCCACTATCCCTGCAATGACTGATACACTTATTTCTGATCTTCTTAAACCTGAAACAGCACAAATGTGGAGATTGTTAAAGATCATGAGATGTAACTATGTTTTTGGGCAGTTGTAGCAGGAAACCTGGATCAGGCTATATATCTCAAGGAAATCAGGCCTGAGACAATCAAGACATGTTTAGGAAACTACCTTTAAGGAGGTTCGATCCCATTATCAGGGCCATGCATGGAATTGATGCCTGTCTGCGGGTCAGAACAATGATAAAAACAAGATCAATGACAATATTACAGGGAGTTCCTGAACAATGAAATCTTAATCAAATAACACAAGTCAAAACATGAATCCTTGATAGGAAAAGGTTTTCAATCTTCTTAAGCTTAACAAATTCCATTTTAGGACTTATTACCCTAGCAAAGACGCAGAGCTTTCAAGCACTCGAAGAGGAGCACTATCGCCAATAATCACCTTCCGGATTGGAGAGATTGTCCCAATGGTAAACCCAAACATCTAAAGAAGTAAAATAAAAGGAGTCAAAGTAATTACATAGTTGATTAGGCACTGTCACTGACAAAATTAAGAACTAATACAAGGACATAATGCAGATAGTAGATAGTATGAATTTCTAACGTACCGCAGCAATTGTAGCTGGTGCAAACACCTTCTTGAGGTTGGTGTTTGCTGCGAATTTCTTAAAATTCCATAAAGTCCTCTCCATGAATGTCACCTTCTGTCAAAATAATAAGGTGCTAGGAAAAGAGTTTCTGCCTAAAAAAATTCATAAGTAGCATCTGTAATAAAATGCTAGGAAACCTCACTTTTCCCTCGGTCATAGTTTCAGGAAGTTCAGCATGAACAGAATGATCATGGCAGCTAGACTTTTCACTTGAAGGAAGTAAGGCCTCTGTGTAACTTTCAGAAACGGCTATCGATACATTTTCAGTGTTTCCAGCACTGTTATCAGCATATATCCTCATGATAATATACACGTATGTCCATATATAAATAGCTCCAACCTGTTGAATCAGAATTTACAACGGAAAAAAGTGAAATTAACTTTAGAGTCACATCTTGAATCCGGTGATCCAGGCTGAGAGGAGCCTGAAAACATCTGCTGAAAGTGGGTTTCATTATTATAGTGTCAGATGAAGGGTTTTCTTTAGTAACATAATGAAGATAAAATCTTACAGCCATAGAAAGAGAAGCATAAGCCATTCCATAAGAAGAGCAGACAGTTGAATCTCCGAATGGGCTATTTGACTCGTTGCAGACTGCAGGAACAATAATGAGAAGCAAGTTCCCTAAATTTCCAGCAGAACAACAACCAATGACAAGGCCTTGGAGGTGTGGTGGAGTTCTGGTGATTTTAATGAGAATCCAAGCAAGTACAGAGCCAACTATGAATGTCAGAAGGATATTCACTGGCATGAACCATCTACAACACCACCACATCAAAGTAAAATGCCACAAGTTAGTGGCAGAAATGCCCGAGGATGAGCAGGTAGAAGCAAGAACTGAAAATTTAGTAAAATCACTCACAAGCTAGCCAAACTTTGAAGAGTAATAGTTCCAGCAAGCTGGCTAGACACGAGCGCTGGACTGAACACATAGAATATAAGCTGCACTTACACAGAGAATTTGTCTATTACGGTGAGAAGGAAGGCAAAAAACTGTTAATTTCTATAAAAAAACAGAATCCTGTAAACATGGATTGAACTCACATTATTTAAGTAGGGTCTTGCAGTCGATCCCAAGAGATCGATACGATCAAGCGCAAGAAACAAGCCAACTAGAGTAATCAAGAGTACTTTCAGAACTGGAACCATTGCCACGACAAAAAGATCAAGAAATCCCATCTCAGAACTTATCTGCAAAGCTTGCAAGAACTCTCTCTTGAAAGTTGACACTCCCGTGGCAAAGAAGAATCAATTCTTTCGTAACATTTATGAGAGGCACATAAAATTATTATCAGATACACAGAAGAAAATCGACCTTGAACAAATTCTGGATATTGAACTAGCATGGAAGGGGCAATATTCGACACGACACATTAGTACGACCTTCATGTGATAGAAAAATCGACACGAAACAAACATGTCCATCACGGAAATGACCTTAGCAAGCCTTTTTAGAAACAAATCTACCTATAGACATTTTTATATTATTACTAAATGCTTATCAGATGTGCTTAATTTCGGACGTATGTACCTCTCTGCAACATGTAGGAAATTAAATACAAATACCTTGTTGCAAGTTTCGATCTACGCAAGCTCAAGTTTCCACTGATGTTCCTGGAGTCAAGAATGTCAGCAACTTCTTATTTCTACATGTGTTTGCTAACACTAATAGAATCCAAGTCAATATTTGGCATCTGAGACGTATTTTACTATCGAAAATAAAGAAATAAAGTCGGGAAGATCATCATCAACTTGCCCTCTCTTATCTCTCCAAGACAGCTATTGTAATCTATGGTTTTGATTGAGGAAAACTAGCTACATGATAGTTAGCTGCGTTTTGTGTGGGGTCCGTGATGTCATTGCCATCCGCATGGTATCTAAAAACTTCACCTACCTTTCAATCTGACTAGCGTGCCTGTATATTCTGTACCTGTCATAATCAATGAACCTTGTTTCACCTTAAGAATTCTCATCTTGTCGCGTTTTGTATATTATTTTAGAGATTGGAGACTCGATTTCGTCATTTCCTGATCATAGAGACCGGC